TTATATCAAAATTATAAAAGTTAATTGATGCTTGAATTCATAAAAACTATAACATAATGAAAACTATGTGAAAAATATGTCTCATAAGCAACTAAAAAATAATATAAAATTATAATTTTTGAATTTTTAATTATCTTTTAGACTTATCTTATGTAATTTATATCATGTTTGTAATATTTTTTTATTTAAACTTTATTTATCTTTAATAATTTTCATACAAGTTAATTTAATGAGACAGATTTCAAGTCTTGAATCACTCAAAAAATAATCTAAAATTATGTTTCAATATTGAAAATAATTATTTCAAAAGACCAAATTGATCTAAATTTAAAGAATAAAGAATCATAATAAATATTTTAAAAATAAAAAACCAAAATAAATCTAAAAAAATAAGATAAAGAACAATAAAAATATAATTTAATCTAAAATAAAACATTAACCGTCTTTATTTATTTATTTGTTTTTACTTTTCCTTGCTTTTTTTTTGTACGAGTTTCCTTGATTTATCTAGTCAATTTTGTATGGCATTTTAGCATATGAAATCTGCACGATATATTTTTATTTTATATAATTAAAAGTAATAATGAATATTTTGAATATATAAATGATGAGAAAAATTAATAAATGCATATATTATCGCCAAATAATAAAGATATTAATTCACAATGATCATGTGTTTTGATTGTTTAATAATTATTAATTAATTAAAATTAGATAAAGGAAGATTTTTGCAATTAATAATAAAAAACATAATGATAAGATAAGAAAACCTTTAATAATAAAATAAAAAATTGATTTTGATAATAATTAAAATATATTTTAGGATTATGGTTGGTGTCATGAGTTCCTATTTATTTAATCTTCTCATTTAGTATTTTACTAAAATCTCTTTGAAGGTGAATTAACCTAAGATATCTTGAATTCTCTTTCAAGATAGAGAGGAGTATCTAATTGAATTAGTTCTTATTGTTCTGGTAACTATGTTTAATTAAATTTAGTACTTTCTTTGTTAATCCAATTAGTTCTCAGAATTAAATCTACTTTTGTGATTTAAACCCTAAGTCTAGTTTTTAGAGTTTTGATAATTAGGTTCACCTTTCAGTTCTTCCTTAAATATCTAAACTTATAAAAATAATTTTTAATGTTTTGTATTTATAAAAGACTAAAAATTAGATAAAGAGAAGAAATTAAATAAATTACTAAATAATTTGATTAAATAAAAAGATTCTCAATGACTAAGCTCCAATCTCAAAGTAAAAAGAGATTACTTACACATGCTCGTGGTAGTTTTCCCTAAGAAAACAAGAAATCATAAGCAAAAATGAACCTTAGAGTTAAGAGAGAGTCAAAATCCTAAAGTCTAGAAGTAGAAAGTAGAGCAAAAGATGTCTTCTATCTCCACTCAAATATTACTTAAAGTCCTAAAAACTAACCCTAAAAGAAAAGAAAATAAAAAATAAAAATAAAAAATTACAAAATAATAAAAAGATAAAAAGAAAATAGCATATGTTTGCACGAACATGCAATTAGGATGCACACCTATGTTGGTTCTTGATGGATTTAATGAATATAGCTCCCTTAATGAATGGCACAAGCTTGCAATTGATTGCAAGTCTGTCCAAGTTGATGCCTTGTGCATATTATAAAAAATGTTACATATATTAACATGTAAAAAATGTCAATATAGACACAAAATATATAAATATAAATTTATTTGACATATAAGTATACAAATTTTAGTATTGATTCTGAAAGAAAATTAATAACATATATTGTGTCACTGTAACCTATACTTATAATATTTAATAATATATCAACATATATTGTATTTATAATGAAAGTAAAATTAATTTTTAATAATAAATATCGTGTTACTATATGTCATTATATAACAATTTTTCTAGTAACATTTCCTAACATGAGTTGGATTGCAAGGGCGTGCAAGTGAGTTGCTTGCCCGTACCTTCTAGTAAATGTCTAGTACTTCTCCATTTTTCTCTTTCGTGAGTCCATGATAATTCTTCTTATGCTCCAATGATCATGTAATTCTTGGATTTCTCTCTTTTAGTTCAAATCCAAACACTTTGCATTCACAAAAACTATTTAATACAACAGGTTTAACAAATAAAGATAAACAAACAGCAAAGAGGACAAAAACAAATAATTATGTAAGCAAATCAGGGTAAAAATGTTTCTTATGTGCCTATAAAATGTAACGCATCAATAAATTATATTATAATTATTTTTTTAATAAATTAAACTAATATATCATATAAATTATAACTAAGATTTATGATAAATATTTTATATTATGATACAAAATTATTTTTAACTATTGATATTTTTTAAAATTATATTGAAATTTAATTTAAAATAACAAAAAAATGATAGATTAAAAATATAAAATAGTTAAAAAATTCTTATAAATACTTTTATTAAAGAAAATTAGTTAAAAACACTCTTATTAAAAAACAACCCTTTAAACACTCTTATTAATTATTCCAACTTATATGGAAAGATATTTATATAAATAAGAGGAAGAAGTAGGCTTATATTATTTTATTAATTTGAGTTTGTTAAAATAAATTAAGGATGATTTTAGAAAAATAAAATATAAGTGAGTTGATGGGTGTTTTAGGGCAAAGGTTAATTGGTGGGCATGAGATCTGGAATCCAACTTGTTAGATAGCTTGGTAGGAGTTTTGAGGAGCTAGTCACTTTACAATGTAGAAAAGTTTGGTTGGTTATGATGCTTGAGAGGATTTCATGGGCGGAGAATACCGAGAAACATATTTCAAATTAGTGTCACACCTTTAAGTTGCGTTTGAGTTATAAGCTATTAGTATTACATGTATATAAAATTAAGAACATAAGAATATTGATTATGTGAATGAAAGTGAGTATGTGAAGTGTTTATGTTGTATTTTTAGTTCTACTTAATCTTCTTACCTGTATTGCAAAAATATGTGAGATGTATAACCACTCCTTTATTATTGTATTGTTATTTAGATTGAATGTTAACTTTCAAGCAAGGTTAAAATCACTCTTCATCTAAGTTTAGTTCTCCTTCAATATTGGGAAGATTTGAAAGGGGACGAGAAATTTTAAAATATTTTAAAAATTATATTTTAAATAACTTTATTTATATTTTTAAATTTAAAATTATAAGAATATGGAGATAAATTAATTTTTAAATTCATCTCTTCCTTTATAAACCAAACAAGAAAATATTTATCTTTTTTTACTTCTCAATATCCATCCCTACTTTTCCTCGCTCTTTTTTTAATCAAACATATCTTTATACTTTGTGTTTAATTTTAACTTTTTGAGTTTTAGTTTGAGACATGTGAATCTCCTTCTTTAGACCAACCTTACCCAAATGATGTAGAATTCATTATTGCACATTCGACAAGTTCCAGAATCCATCCACAATTACAAAAACAAAAAATCGTAATATTAGATTCCTTGATATACAAATGTTGAAGGAGAAATTTATTAAGATGAGTGCCTAGTGGTAACCACTTGTCATTCCAAAAATGCGTAGTCCATTCCTAACTAACCGTCAACGCATCCCAAGTTGATGTAATAGCTCTCTAAACTTGTGACCCACCTTTTTGCCTCATAACCACAAGCATATAGGATTCATAACACCCATATTTACTACTTATCACTTAGATCTAAAGACCGTTTAACTTGTTAACAAAACCCCACTCTAGTTCCATAACTAAGGCTTTGTTAACCACATGCAAATCTTTAAATCCCATTCCACTCGCCTCCTTGGAAGAGCAGAACTTGTGCCAACCAATAGTATGACACTTTCACTTGTCAATATCTTCTCCTCACACAAAACTCTTGTTCATGAGCTCCAACTTCTCACAAACTTGCACAGGTAATAAAATAGATTGCATCGTATATGTTGGTAATGCTACAATCACTTCCTTTGCAACAGTGCACATTCCAGCAAATAAAGTGAGTCTTGCATGCCAAGAGCTTGGTTTCATTTGAGTCTTTTGGAAGAGAAATGAGTATGTCTCTTTCTTTTTCCATGTAGTAAGGGAGTACCTAGATATTTTTTAAGATCTCTCGTGAGTCAAAATCCAGAGCATCTACAAATTTCCATTGCAATGTTATGATTTATATTTCTAGATACACACATCCTAGTCTTGGATATTGAAATTTTTTTGATTGGATGATGAACAAAAAATATCAAACATTTGTTTATAGTATCTATTTGAGACATACTAACTTCTCCAAACAAATAGAGGTCATCCACAAAGAATAGGTGAGAAATTGGTGGCCTATTCCTACTTAACTTAATAGGTTTCTAGTTTCTATTATGCACTTCTCGATCCTCTTGCAACACATCATCCTCTCCTCCTCATTAGGGAAATCTTGAAAAGTTGGGTTCACGTCATTGGCCATCATCAAAAAGTCCTTATAAGATTTCTCTCGATTACTTCCCCTATTCGTGACACCATGTTCCAACACACCCTCTTGGTCTTTTCTCTTGATGTTCCTAGAAGATTGTCTTTCACTTCTAAAATCCTAACTTAGTTCTCAACTTTCATAATATACTAATTATTTATAATTTTTTTACTCAAATGTCAATTGATTTTCATATTATTGATATATGTAATTGTAAAAACTATAGTTTCTTTATATAAATAATTTTTATTCAAAATATTTTTTTTATTAATTAAATCAGTAATAGTGGTTAAGTAGAAAAGAATTGAAATAATTAAAAGCATGAAGACCTAAGTTCAATCTCCATTACAATCATTTTTATAATTTTATTTATTTTTTTATAAAAAAATCAAATCAGTAATAATATCCAATAAAAAGAAATCAAATCAGTGATAAAGATCTTATTAGTTAAACAGATATCAACATTTCAATTCAAATTTGATTTGAAGGGATAACCCACCTCAAAAAATGAGTAAACAAGATATTTTGAATAAAGAAACATTTTATAAAATAAAAATAAAAATAATAATGATGTAGAAACAGTTCCGGAATTTACTGAAAACAGAAAATTATAGAAAAGCAGTGATATAAATCCATATCCTCCCTCAAGTCACTGTCTTCTCCGCCTCCACCCTTCTCTGAGTCGGTCGAGTTGAATCGGTGAGTGAGTGAGTGAGTGAACGAGTTCAGCTATGTCGGACGAGGAACATCATTTTGAATCCAAGGGTGACGCAGGTGCTTCCAAAACCTACCCTCAACAAGCTGGCACCATTCGCAAAAACGGTTACATCGTCATCAAGGGTCGTCCCTGCAAGGTACAGTGTCGTATATCACCATTTTATGTCCTTTCACTCTTTACTTTCATCATTATTATTATTGTTAATTAATTATCTAGGGTTTTTCAGTGATTGTGGTTTTGTCATGATTAACTATGTGTTACGCGATTTGGGCTTCGAGATCTATCGTTTCGTGCGTTTTGATTATTGGATTAGGTTTTGCGAACTCTAATTACCCGTGGTGGAGTTATTTCAGTTCACTGGAGAAACAAAACTAGTTTTTTTTTTTTAATTAAAAAATAAAAGAAAAATTTTAATTGGTGAAATCTCAAGTTCTTTAGGGTGCATGTTTTGATTTAAGGAGACGGTGTTAATTGATTTGAGTAAACACTCACTTTAGCCTTTGAATTTATAAAGTGTTAATGCCATTTTAGTCTCTGAATATATATCAATATTATATCAAGTTATGGAGTTTTGGACTAATTTGATTGTCAATTCACTCTTTCAGGATTAATTTTAAAGTTTCTTAGTTTGAAGGACTAATATTATTGTGACTCACAAATTCAGAGACCAAATTAAGTGTTTACTTTGGTTGATTCACAAATTCAGAGACTAAATTGAGTGTTTACTCTAATTGATTTTGCTTGTGTGTTGTGGTCTTTGAGCATTGATATTGAATTTGTGGTGTGTTGTTTTTTATTGATTATGATTGATGCGTGTGAATGTGCGGTGTTTGACAGGTTGTTGAAGTTTCGACTTCCAAAACTGGTAAGCATGGTCATGCCAAGTGCCACTTTGTTGGAATTGATATCTTTACTGCCAAGAAGCTTGAAGATATTGTGCCCTCTTCCCACAACTGTGATGTATGCCACCTTATCATGTTTTGTTTTTCTTGTTTTATGATAATTTCTCTCTTTGCTGTACTAACTTTGTTTGCATTTCAGGTTCCCCATGTGAATCGTACTGACTACCAGTTGATTGATATTTCTGAGGATGGATTTGTGAGTTACTTTTTTTTTTTGTTGACCATTTCTTTGGTTCACTGACTTGAGAGTTAGAGCCGGTTTTCATTTTCTTTTTTGACAATAATTGTGAAAACCTCACCTTGTTGTATTTGAAAAATAACTAAAACTTTATCTCATTGAGATTGACCATCTTTTTTAAATTTAAAGATGGGTTTGATTTTGATACACTATCAGTTGTGTAAAGATTTTTGCACTATTAACTAATTAAGGTTGGCTACTTTGCTTGTATTTTAATGAGTTTAATTTTGATATACTTATCGGTGATAACTTTTTTTACATTGCCAGGTAATTAGAAATTGTCCTGGATATAACTTTTTAAGTACATATTCCTAATATGATTGAAGCTGAAGAACTGTCACTGTCACCGTATTTATTCCTATTACATTCTTTGAAGATTTGTTTAAGAAATGATAAAACTAACTATCCAATATGTTGTTTTCACCACATCTTATATAATCTTTGAAAATAAAGTGACATGGTTGTTATCCATGTAAATATTGAAAATGAAAATAAAAAAATGTTTTCTCTAACGGAAATCTCTAATTTTGTCACTATTATCTGAATTCATGCTTGAATGATATTACAGGTCAGCTTGCTTACTGAAAATGGAAACACCAAGGATGACCTCAGGCTTCCTACCGATGACAGTCTGCTTACTCAGGTTTGTAGAAACCTACTGTTTTGTCTTTTGCATTTGCATCGTCCAAGGGTATATCTTTGGATATATGATCCCGAATAGATAAAATTATCCATTAGTATTTATGTTACAGGAGAAGAAAATAAGAAGATAAACTTAATGTAATTTGACTTTTATAAAAGATCTCATGATTTTCCAATAGTTAAGGTGGATTAGTTGATTTTAATTTATGAAAGCAGTTTATACACTATAACTTTTATAAAAGTTCTATTATTCAACTTCTCCAAAAGTTAAGGCGTATAAGTTCATTTTAATTTATAAAGAAGTTTATTCTTATTTTTTTATTTTCTTTTAATTTAAGTTCATATCAAGAAATTTATCAAGGTTTAGTTATTGTTTATACTAAACTCCTTGAAATTCTTATAATCTGTTCACCTTTATTGGTTGCTTTTATTCCATAATTGTGTTTAATTATGTAACATTTATTGGCCAATGCAGATAAAGGATGGATTTGCTGAGGGTAAGGACCTGGTCGTGTCAGTTATGTCTGCAATGGGTGAGGAGCAGATTTGTGCCCTGAAGGATATTGGACCAAAGAATTAGCCTCTACTGCTGGTAGTTTGTTTTCATTTAAGCAAAAAAGTTATATATTTTTGTATGATTTTGTTAAACCCTTGTTATGGATTCTAGTCAGACTAGTTTTACCAACTATGTTTATGGATGTGACAAACTGTTTAATATTTTTCTGTTTCCATCATGTCTTGAGATTTTACGATAAGATACGAGGGGTAATTTTGTGCTTGGTACCGTTATAACAAATTTCTATTAAGCCACCAATTTGTTTTTTTTTTTTTTTTTTTGAAGAAGATTATAAGCATTTTGCAAAGTTACAAACATTTCTTTGAGTCTTTGTAATCTCTCTTAAAAATACATTAACTTTGTGTGAAATTGGTCTAATCTATATTAAAATTTGTAATTTTGTTGAAAATTATAATTGACATTCTGAAGTTGTTTGGGGGCAAAACATGTGAGAATTTGGATAAGATTTAGGAAAATTAATTTTATACGAAAATCTTACCTTTTGTAATTTTCATTGGAGTGTATAATCTGTAGGGGTTTAACTATTTATTTAAATTACAGAATTTAAAAAAAAATGATAAATGGACAAATCATAAGAAACTACGGAAATGTCTGAATTTGGTGGATGCAGAAGAATGTTTGGGTTGGTGGGGGAAGGTGGAATAGAGAGAAAAAAAAGTCTAATTGAATATTTGGTCTATAAAAGTGAGAATTGAACCTAATGGATGAGGATGAATTAAGATTTGTTTTATTTTATCATATAACATTATTTTCCTTCTTTTTGAAGGGGTACATGTTGGAGCTAATGATTCTTAATTTAAATTATTATCTTACCATCACTATTGTGAACCATTTTACTGAATAATTGTTAATTTCAATTAAAATTTGTGAAAAGAAGGATGAAGAGAAGAAGGAACCTCCATGTAGTGGCATATAAGGAGACTGCTGTGTTCAAGATTGAAATGTATTTTAACATGTCTATAGTAAAAAAATAAATGTTTAATTTTGCATGTATAGCTGAATTTAACAATAAATAATTGTTTTTAACTATAATGAATAATTTAAATTGTAATATGAATATGAAATGAAATCTTTTATAAATGGAGTTTCAAGTTTTTTATTTTTAATAACAATTTGAGAGAAGAGTTTTTTTTAAGCATTTAATCATTTAGTGAAATTAAACTTATGGTATAAGTTTTACACACAGTTGATATCTTTCCTCCTCTATTTTTTTTTCACCTTGTGAGTAGGGAATTGCTAGAAAAAAATGTTTTGCTATTATGAATTTATAGGAAACATTCTTTTATTGGTCTAGATTGATTAATTTTGTGATCCGTAAGAAAATTTTTGGTGGTGGTACTCATGTCGGGATTTGAGTGTTTTTTTTTCTTATGTGAATTTTAAAAAATAATGTCTCTAGTCTCATAATTATTTAAAATTGTTTTTGTATATTTTATTAAAAAATCATTAATAAATTGTTTATAGTCAAGATTTTTTTAAAATTATTTTTAATAGAAAATAAAGCAAGGTTATTTAGATGTTTAAAAGGTTATTTTTTTATGTAATATATTCAAATAATTAGACAAGTATAGATAAAAAATTAAAAAATTAAGTTATAATACATAAAATAAATAGTCTTTTATGAGTTTGATTTTGAGATTTCAACATAATATAAAAGGTTTTAAAACTAAATCTTAAACTTTCAATTTATTGGAATTAGGTGTGAAATATAATAGGCTATCATAAACTTTATTTATAGATTTCATATGATCTTAAAAAATTTGATAATCTATTTAAAAGTTTATTTTATATTAATAATGTTAAGTTAATGAATTTAATTTTTAAAAAGAAATAAATTTATTATTAAATATGTCTTTGCGAGTTATATTTTAATTTGTGTGATAAAATATAATTTACTTAATATTATTAAAATTTAAAATTTAAAATATATACTGTGATAAAAAAGAGAAAAGTGAATTATTTTTTTGTTAAATATACAATTCATACATAGTCTTGTATGTTGATATAGACTTACATATAGATTGTAAGTCTATAAATCTATAATGAAAAAAGATAATTGTATAAAAAAATATTTTAAATATTTTTTTTTACGATAATTCCTAGTAACTTTTGATCTAGTTCGTCAACTATAGTTACTTCAAGTCTATTGATCTTTCTTTGAGCTCCTCCTTTGTAAGGATTGATCGAAAAAAATCTTAAGGAGGTGATGAACCTTTGGAATTGGAAGCACTTAAGTCAAAGACTCAAGTGATTGCTCACAAAAGTATATGAATCTAGAGAAGAAATTTCCAAAATTCCTAAAGTTCTAAGCTTTAAGTGATCCTAAGTTGAGAGAAAATTTATAAGAATGAGAATGCTCTATATATACAACTCAAATTGAATGTTAGTATTGTTAGTATAAAAAATATTTTGGTAATAATTTTCTTTTATGCGAAAGTTAATAGAATTTTGATAAAAATTAATATAATGTCATATATTAGATTCTGCCATAGATGAGAGTACAATTTTTAACATAAAGAAGAGAGTGATGTATTTTACTCTAACTTTTAATTAAATGATTATTTTTCAAAATTTATCGTTAAATTGAAATGTTTTTTCTTCCAAATCATATATACAAATTTTATATTAATCAAAGATTATTTAATACTGCATTTATATAAGTCAAAATCAATGTAATATATATGTTTCAAAATACACTAAAATATGAATAATTTAATTATCTTTCTTATTATTGTTTAATTTTAACAAAATTTGACATACATATTCACATGAATATAAAGTTGTAATTTAACAATTGAATTAATAAAATTTATTTTTATATAAAATTATTGAATAATATAATAATTATAAAAGTTATATCAACGTAATTTGATCATTTTCCTTTTTTGAATATATAAATGATATTTTAGATTTGAGATAAATATTTTATATTGTTTAACAGGATTATTTTTTATTATTGATATCTATTTTAAAAATATTAATATTTAATTTATAAATATATATAACAAATAAATAATTAAATTAAATAATTAAAAAAAACACTCTTATAAAAAAACAATTCCCAAAATTACTTTCCCATAAAATAATTATTTACATTGATAGTTGATTATCATCCTATGTTATGTTCAAGTATCGAAAAAATTTTAACACAGTAAAATTTTCTTAAATATACACGTATCATATGTGGTGAGATTTGAAGTAAAGTAGTATAAATAATATTAAGGTTATCATCATCGAAATTATTTTACTTATAAAAAAAATATTATGTATCATATTTAAAAATAAAAAAATTTGATTCTTTAGTAATAGCAGAAATTTTTTTTAATCAGCAATGATTTTTGTTTTTCTGAATGATAATGCACTCTTATATATATCTATATCTTTAGAGATTCTATACCAAAAAAAATATAAGTTAGGTGCACCACTTCTAGTGGTAATGTGGGCACTAAAATTGATAAAACTGAAACTTAAAATTTTAAAATTAACAACAAACTTGCAAATGAGAAATAAAAAGAGTTGGTCAAATAAAAATCAAAAACTAGAAAGATAGGAACCAACTAAAAAGAATTTTTTGGCTTAAATTTTAAACCGTGGGTAAATTTTTTTTTCTAAATCGAGATACTCATGGAATCAGTGACGGATCCAGAAAATTTAAATAATGGGAGCAATATTTAAAGATATAAATTTGTTAAAATATAAAATAAAATTTTTATAAAGACAAATACATATTATAATTGTTCTTTACGAGTTTTCATAGTTTGAAAATCTTGAATGATTTGCTCATTTTCAATATTATCAAAAACCTCTCTTTCTCTATATAAGTAACTAAATAATCATTTAACCATTCATCTCCTATACGATTTCACATCCAATTCTTGATGATATTCATAGCATAAAAAACACTTTCAACTGATATAGTTGCCACGGGTAGTATCAAGGCTAGCTTTAAAAGCAAATACACCAATGGATATACAACATGTTTTCATGTCTCCACAAACTTCATAGAAAGATCATGACTTCTAATTTTAAAAAAGCACTGTCAAAACATACATTTATGAAATAATTTTCAAGTTGGTTATCTAATGCCAAAAGTTCAACTGGAGAAAATTTAGAAGAATAAAGTTGAGCAAAACGAATCAACTTCTCCCTGTCAAATGCAGAAAATGAATCTCTTGGATTTAAACATCCTACACAAAGAAGCAACTCAATATTTGCTTATGTGAAACAGTTGTTTAACTCTTGAAGTTGTTGATCAATCACTTGAAAAAATAATTCAACTTGAAAATATAACTTTAATTAATGTAATGTTCATAACATACAAAAGAAACTGTTTAATAAAATTAAATAATAAAAAATATAATAAAGAAACTGTTTAATAAAATTAAATAATAAAAAATATAATAAAGAAACTGTTTAATAAAATTAAATAATAAAAAATATAATAAAGAAACTGTTTAATAAAATTAAATAATAAAAAATATAATAAAGAAACTGTTTAATAAAATTAAATAATAAAAAATATAATAAAGAAACTGTTTAATAAAATTAAATAATAAAAAATATAATAAAGAAACTGTTTAATAAAATTAAATAATAAAAAATATAATAAAGAAACTGTTTAATAAAATTAAATAATAAAAAATATAATAAAGAAACTGTTTAATAAAATTAAATAATAAAAAATATAATAAAGAAACTGTTTAATAAAATTAAATAATAAAAAATATAATAAAGAAACTGTTTAATAAAATTAAATAATAAAAAATATAATAAAGAAACTGTTTAATAAAATTAAATAATAAAAAATATAATAAAGAAACTGTTTAATAAAATTAAATAATAAAAAATATAATAAAGAAACTGTTTAATAAAATTAAATAATAAAAAATATAATAAAGAAACTGTTTAATAAAATTAAATAATAAAAAATATAATAAAGAAACTGTTTAATAAAATTAAATAATAAAAAATATAATAAAGAAACTGTTTAATAAAATTAAATAATAAAAAATATAATAAAGAAACTGTTTGAGAATTGTTTATCTTATAAAATAAAATACATATACATTCAAAGAAGAGAAGATTAAAAATCATCCTTCAAGCATATCTTGCTCTTATAATTTTATTTTTTAATTATAATATTAGTATAAAATATTTATGA